TGTGTGTGTGTGTGTGTGTGTGTGTGTGTGAGAGAGAGAGAGAGAGAGAGAGAGTGCAAAGGGGGGAAAGGGGTAGGGGGTGGACCGCATAGTTTGGGGCCCGTGTAATTTGTGGGTGGTGTTAGTAGGAATGGCGAAATTTTTCTCACCTATCGGAATATATGCTCTGCTCAGTTAATGAAATGTGGCCAAGGGGGACATTCAAAATGGACCGAATCTGAAATAAGCACACGACTGCTCTCACGTCACGTTCCCCTTTTTTTTATTCTCTCGCTCGCTACCAATAGGGCACGCCGTTCCTGCGAGGGAGGGAGGGAGAGAGAGGGGGGGGGGGGGGGGGGGGGGGGGGGGGGAAAAAAGGGGGGGGGGGGAAAAAAGAGGGGGGGGGGGGGGGGGGCGGGATGAGGTCATGTTGCGGGAAATAAATCATACATGATGTGTGACCTCGCGGATGCGAGAGTGATGAACGCGCTTCGACTTTGACAGATTACGTTCGCTCGTCTTGATGCCCCGTGCCTCCTCTTGTCTGCTGCATCGATATGCGGTGAGTAAAGTCCCGACGAGGACTCGGCTAGGGCCCCGACCTCGCGCCGCACTTCAGCTCGGCCTCCGCTCCGCGCCGGGGCTGCACCTCGGTTAGTCCCACTCCTCGACCTGCAGCCCCGCGTACTGCGGCATGCGATCGGCGTTGTTGAGACACCAAGGGTACGAGCGCGCGGGGCGGCGTGGCCGGGTGAAACTGGATGGATCAGGCGGCGAGAGAAGGAAGACGTGATTTTGCAGTGCACATAATGATTTTAACTTTTCAAAAAAGAGTAATTTTATGAATTTTTTGAATTTCCTTTTATGAAATGTTTGAAGTTTATCCGTAAAAGTTTATATGTTCTTCAAGTATTTTTTTAAAATGTTCTGTGCGTTTTTCCCTGGGAAAAGTTTTGTTTTTTTCGGGAAAATTTCAGACCTTAAATTCCGCAGTTGGTGATGAGCACGGAGGAGGGGGACTGGCAGATGAGGCCCGAGGCGGCGCTCGGGCAGCCGCCCCGGGCAGACACAGCGTTTCTAAAGCTCGGTCGTCCTCCATGCCGACATCGTCCCTTGCCACGTGTGGCCGGGCTCCGAGCACCACCGCCTGCATTCGTAATCCCACCGAGGCCCGGTTACACTTGCGTCGCGGAGTGCAGCCCCCATGGGGGCCGCCGACCGCCGACCAGGCCGCCGGGACCGGGCGGGCCGGGGCCGGGGCACCAACCCAACAATAGAAAGCCCAGAAGGGTGCGCGCGCTGTGGAGTTTCCAAGAGGATTTGAACGCTCGCTCGGCCTGTCGGGCGGGCAGACCAACTTCCGTACGGCGGCGGGCCGAGGGCGGCCGAGGAGAGCCTGGAACTGGCGAGGCTGTTCGGGCGCGCGGCTGGGGCTTCTGTAGTCCCGCTGGCCGACGGGTGGGGGTCAGGTGCTCTGCTGCCGTTGCTGGAACAGCGTCTCGCGAAATATCGTCGAAGCCTGTTGCGTGAGTCGTGGTCTAGCGTACCAGCGTACCGGGGCTGTAAGTACGCACGTAAGTACGTGCAAGTACACAGAAAAGGGCGGTGGACCAATTTTTCATAGAAAATTAACCTTGCCAATATTATGGTATATTCACAGAAAAGTGTTGGACTTGTAGTAAACATATTATACTTTCATCCTACTTGGGTGGCATATGGTGTGTTTGTGTGTTACATAACATTCACACGTTTTGGTGTGTTGCAATTTCTAAACGCGCTTTCAAGTGTTCAAATCTTACGCTCTCATGTTTGTTGGGCGTCGTCGGCATGATTCATTGCCGTTGATCCAGTATCCCACCCGCACTCAGACCTCTTGTTTGCTCCTAATTGTGTGGGACGAAAGAGCCTCATCAGGTTCCTCGCACCTGAGCGGCGCGATGATGTACTGCCTCCCGCCTCAGACGGGACTGGCGTGGAAAGCGTGGGAGCCTGCTGGCGCCTCGGCGAACCCGATGATGACGGAGGATGTAAGCAGAGGCGGGCGTGAAATCGAAAACTGCGGAAGACGCTCGTGGCCAAGCAGCTAGGCTATACATCCAATACGGGGCCTTAGTTTTTGAAAATCAGCTCTGGAAGACTTGATCTGAAGCGACGATATAGTGGCAAAGTATTTGACATGTGCCACTAGATGTCTGATGGCAATCACGCGGGAAAGTGTTTATTTGCCATATCCTATGTTATTATGTAACCTGAAACAAAACTGGCGGGTCGGAAGCCGCATGCCCGATCCCCATTATCCGCGCTTCAGGTGTCGGCGCCGCAGGCTAAGGTAGATGTTCGGGATGCTCCAAACTAAAAGTCAGGGCACTAGCCTGGTTTCCGATGTCTGATTTGGACCGTACGTAGCGGAAGTTTCTAGGAAGTCAAAACTTTTCCTTTCAAAGGTTTTGCTCATTCAGACCAGAAGACGCGTTCATACTATAACATGAGTACAATCACAAATCCTCTATAATATTCGTCTGCGGGACTCATTTTGCTTGAAGTGCAATTTTATTTTTTTGGTATGAGGAAGAGTGGCGAAAAAGAAATGCGGCCTGTCTAACGTCTGCGTTCGTCTCTGTTGCAGGGGGGCGGATGATACATCACCAGGTGAGTCCTCAGCAGCGCGCTCTGGGTGCGGTCGCTGCAATGACGGTCATTCGTTCTCTCCCGCCGCGTGATCACACTTCTCTCTCTTATTTCTCTCTCTCTTCCTCATTCGCTCTCTCGCTCTTGCCCTGGTACGGGCTGCCCACTCCCTAAAATCGCCTCTCTGCCTCTCTCTCCTCACCCTCCCTCTCCTCCTTCGTGTGGCCATAGCATGTGCTTTTACTGCGTTGTTTTATTCCGCAAGCATAAAGCTGTCGCGACTATCGCCCCCCCTCCCCTCTCTCTCTCTCTGCCTCTCTTCCTCGCTCTCCCACTACCTCTTTTTCTGTCTCTCCTTCGGACTGCGCTCGCCATACGAAGAGAAACAATCCAATAAATTGTGTGTGCATGTGTGGCTGGCTGCTGTGAGCCAGTGGCAGCCCTCCGTCTTGTGTTTCAAGTTCAGAAGGGAAACCGTGGCGCCCCGCCCGCGGCGCCCGCGCAGCACTGAAACTGTAAATATATGTTTCTCATTTGCCCTGTAAATATTTTGTTTTTGTCCATGCGTTTGCCGCCCCCTGCTCCGCTTTCCCCCCTCTCATGTGCCATTTTGCCCTTTGCGCGCTTCTCTGCACAGAATGGGGATGACAGTGCGGTGTTCTTTTGATGTGCCTACTCTCTCTCCTGAAATGAGCCGTGTGTGCCTGCAACGAAATGCCCGTCATCATACCCAACTAAATATGGACCCTTTTTTTTCCTTTGCCCTCTCTCTCACCTCTCTATTTCCCTCCCGCGCGTACCTTTGCTACGCCCGACGGGGATGAGGCGTTTACATGCACTCCACTCCCCCTCTCCCCTCTCCTCTGTCCCCCCCCCCCCCTCCCTGTCGGGACTGCCGCTAGGCGCGCACCATGCTTCTCGTTAACATGCTGAGGAAGACAGTTGTTCGGGGCCCCACTTTTCAGCTGCGCTGTTCCCGCCCTCATTTTGTCCGTCAGACGGAGACACGAGGCCGGGGGGGGGGGCGGAATGTGTGTGCAAGCGAGAGAAATAATAAGGACAGGAGAGAGGAGGGGGAGAAAGAGAGAGGAGGGGGGTGTTGGTGTAGGGTGCGAGCGAGGCGGCAGCGTGGGTGGGCGAGGGCGAGGGCGATGGCAATGCATGAGGAATTCAATGATAAAGACGACTGGCTCTGTGGGAGAGAGAGACGACGCAGTGTTGGGGTAGAGAACGGGGAATGGGGGTGGCGGAGGCACTGCACTGGGTGAGAGGGAGAGGGGGGGTCAAAGGGGGATGGCATTGTCAGAAATGTGGGGCAATATTTGATATGCCGCCGTCGCTGCTCGGCTGCTCGGTGGGACGGTCGGTTGGTCTGCAGCGCCGGGGACGGGTCGCCGGCAAATTAGACTGGCAGCACTTTGTTATCGTACGTACGAACGCGCGCGGGTCTGTGTGTGTGTGTGTGTGTGTGTGTGTGTGTGAGAGAGAGAGAGAGAGAGAGAGAGTGCAAAGGGGGGAAAGGGGTAGGGGGTGGACCGCATAGTTTGGGGCCCGTGTAATTTGTGGGTGGTGTTAGTAGGAATGGCGAAATTTTTCTCACCTATCGGAATATATGCTCTGCTCAGTTAATGAAATGTGGCCAAGGGGGACATTCAAAATGGACCGAATCTGAAATAAGCACACTGCTTTCACGTTCACGTTCCCCTTTTTTTTATTCTCTCGCTCGCTACCAATAGGGCACGCCGTTCCTGCGAGGGAGGGAGGGAGAGAGAGGGGGGGGTGAAGAGGGAAAGGTTCTCATTGCCTTCGACAGCAGGTGTGTGGTTTGAAATAAGATGCACCCCGAATTGCTGCCCCCTGCTGCTCCCCTTTTCTCACGTTTTCTCTCTGTATGCCTTTGCTCTCCTCCCGCGTCATGGCCTCCTTCGTCTGGTTCGGGTGTAACGAACTCTCCCCAGGTGCCGCTGCAGCCCCAGGATCAGCGAGCTTGAGCCAGGGTCTGTGGATCTCATCCCTCAAGGCCCTTTCCCCCTCCCGCTGCTCACCGCGAGCATAGTGGATACCGGGAGTAGTATTTTTCTGATTTGGCCACCCCACTCAAATACCGCTGAAACAATTGTTGTGGTTAATCAGGGAGGATTGTCGTGTAAAATTAAAGCACAATTCTTCAAGTCAAAGAAGGGAAGCGAAAAATAAAACATGAGGTCGGCCCAACCTTCACTCCGGGAATAACTCTGGAAGTCCGGCGCGCGGCTTCGGGATGACCTGGAGATGCTGAAGCTGGCTCCCGCATCACGTCCCGGTGGTCGAGTGGTCAACGTGATGGGAATGCAGTATGTGAAAATACACCGGATGTGAAAATTCATACCAATTCTGATGTAAAATTTCATATCATGGATAGGAATATTGCTGCATATCACCTGATGTAAATTTTGACAGTGAAAAACAAAACCGTTGTGCTTTTTTGAGAAAAGTAAGAAGTTCTCAGCAATTGTTGTGGTGTATATTAGGTAACAGCTGGTTCATGTCACCCACCTAAACGCATCGCCGCATCTGCCCTTCTGCTTACCGACCGTCCATCCCGTGTCTTTGGTTTTCTTTTCTCTCCGCTTTCAGGTGGGCGTCGGTGTGTTATCGCATTGCTGTGTATCAGTAAGTTTGTCATAGGTCCTTCTCTATTCCCTTCCGGTTATTAGCAATATAATATACGAAAGGAACATAAAATCAACGACCGTATCAAAGCAGCTCTCCCCCTCTCTCCCGAAATAGCCAACTTGCCCCCCCCCCCCTTATTCCCCCCAGCTCCGCCCGTACGCTCTAGTTAGTCTATTGACAGTAGTTCTATAAATAAATACGATATGCTTTTTTGACAGGAAGTGTTATACACTTTTCCCAGCACATCCATTATCAATTGAGCTTTTTATACAATATTTGCTGGGTTTATGGCTATGACTGAGGTATATGGTGTATGGTTTCCCACAACCTTGTCCCTGTCCCATGGAGGTGGACTGGACTTCTCTCTATCCATAGCTCCGTTTGACCGATTGGATTTACTTCAGCCCGCAAATTTTGTAGGCTGCAAATAAAATCCAGGCTCGAAAATGAATACAATACAATAGATTTTGTTAGTAAATAAAAAGATTTCAATCAAACGCACTGGGGGAAGAGGGGCTCGGGTTTTCCCCTTGCTGATAATTCTAGTCCTACCACGGGGCTTTGGACGAGAGCCAATCTGCAAAGGCATAAATATTTCTGCCCTGATCTGTAACCCGCAACTGCCGATACACTTTGCTGACTGTGGTGGGTGAATCGACCCTCCCGGCTGGTAACGTGTTACTTTTTTTCCATTGCAGTTCCATCTTTTTAAGGGTTTCGGACAGCGTTCAGTAGCAGACCTGCCCTGGTGCGTGGTGCGTGGTGGGGTTAAGGTGACTTTTGTTTACTCGAGACGCATGCCATTCTTTGAATACTTTGCACATCCCCATTTCCTCATCCAGCCGTGGTGCGTGGGGCCTTCCTGCACCGGGCAGGCGCGGCTGAAAGCGGGTGGTGGGCTGCGCCGCCCATGGCTTTCGCTGGCATCCGGCCACATCATGGAGCCTTCCCGCCGGCCGACCTTGGTGTGGGCGGCGCAGCCTGGAGTACTGGAATACCGAAGTGATGGCCGGTCGCCATCACGCAGCGCAAACTAACTAGCTAGCAGCCCGGTGCCGCCAGCCGCCAGTGCGCCCGCGGACCGAAGGGTAGGCCACGCGCTCGGCACGCGTGCGCAGCGCTCCCACGGTATTGCCTACCTCACAGGCGGCCTCCGCGCCGCGCGCGCGCTACACCCATCATTGACTCCGTACAATGTACTATAGAGTATCTTTGTAAATTTATGATGTATTCTGTAGTCAATGCTTACAAAATTTTACAACATTTATGTCACTCTAAAACCGCTCGTCGGTGAATTTGAGACATAATAATGCTTGTAATTTTTATACTTTTGAGTAGTCATTTTTACAACACGCTTCATGGGAAATTTATCCGTAAAACTTCCATCTAAATTGGACAGTGTACACTCAAGGAAAAGTGAAATTGGAAGCACACACACACACACACAAAAGTGTGGACTTTAACCATAGTACACTCATCCTTGTGTGTATTATGGCAATTGCAGACGTATATGTTTGTGCTACTAAACTCTGCCATGTGTGTTCTAAGTACAATTTTGGGTTTGCAGTGCGCGCTTTGATTCCTAGCGACTGCTTCTATTGTTCTATTGTTCTGCAAAGTAAAAAAAAATCTCCTCTCTCGAGAATTTTATGTTTTCGTTTTCTTGCGACGTTTTTACCTTGTGTCGTCTGATTTAGTTTCATGACCAAGTAAACGACCTCCTGCCCCCACCTGCTGCACTGCAGGGAGCCTCAAGGGCAGCTCGAGCGGCCCTTGGTGATAATTATTAGGTTCGCACGACACTATGCAAACCGGGTGCCCTTTGAGGGCGACGCCACGCCAAGGCTGCCACGCCGCGCCATCGTGTTCAGCATGTGGCTTTAAAGTCACACGCAAGGCCGTGTTTCTCAGAGACAAGTACAGGAATATTACTAGAGGTGAAATCACACGCAATTTAAAGATTCAGAGGCCCAGTGCCGTGGGAAAATTATTTCCAAGGAAAAACCAACCTCCTGTGTTATAGAAGTTTAACCTGGTGTGCAAATGAGAGTTTTTCGAGGAGGAACGTTAACATGGGTGCGTGGCTGTTTATTTCGTTTGGAGAACTTGCCTATACTTGACGAAAAACTAATAAACAGGATTTTTTGGTATTTCTTCTAAAGCGGCTGTCCTCGTGTTGCAGAGTAAAAAATTGCAGTGGGTTAAAGTAGTGAAACACAATGGTTATTGTTAAGAGAGTAACACCCGTTCCAACCTGAAAAAATATCCAGGTCTCAGTAACTCGATCCCTTGGTGAAGTTTTGCGTATTTGAACGCGCACCTTTTACCCGTCGCGCGCAAACAACCTGCCCTCGCGGTCCTGTGAT